TAACTTCTTAACTGCGCGTGTGCTCGTGCTCTTCTGAACAGGTTTCACCTGTCCCTTGGACATCGAACAGCCAAGACAGGGTAGCAGCGGTCCATCCGTCAGCTGCACTCCCTGCTGCTCCGCCGTGATCCTGAGCATTGTCTTGTGGGCATGGCCGTGCGCGAGGTGGTACTGGTTGAGGTAAGTGGGGGTGGCTGCTTTCGCATCGCCAGGAACAATGAGTTCGGCACAGGCGGTGTGTAGCGTTGGCTTTATTTGATAGCCTCGTTGGGTCAGCAGCTTTCCAGTCCGGGGGAACCACACCTCCCCNTCGGAACATGGAGCACGTGGCCGCTGTGTCGGCCACGTTCATCGCCTGGCCTTGTTCTACAACCCCCACTAGACCTACTTCACCAACGGTACCACACTCGCGTGGGGGGACTGCCACGGCACAAAACGCCTGGGATTCCACGGAGTCCACGTCGCTCTCATGCTCCACCACTTGCGCTAGGACGGCCTCCTCCGTCGCGCACTTTCTTTGGTGTGGCCCCACCCCTCACGGCGCGCACACCAAGGCACGACGTCCTTATCGTTGGTAGTGCAGCCGATCGCTTGATGTCCACGATGTCCACACCTAAAGCACCGGCCCGGGAACTTACAGTCCTCGCCACCGCCGCCATCGGCGCCTCCACTGCTGCTTCCCTCGCTCTCCTCGACTCCTCCGCATCCGCCTGAGCGGCCGCCGCGACCGCCGCCGCCCCCGCCGCGACCGCCTCCGCCGCGGCCACGACTGCTGCTGCGGCCACGGCCGCCGCCACGACCACAACCTTGCCCCTGACTCCTACTTGAGTACCGCTCCCTGCGGCCCTCACCGTCGGCGAAGTACGCTTGCTCTGCGCCCTTCGCCCCTTTTCTTTTCCCCTGCTCCAGCTTGTCCTTGATCGCCTTGTATTCGATCATTTCTTCCTTTAGCACACCTGTCCGCGTCAACTCCTTCGCGTGTGGCAGGTTGTGCTTTGTCATGGCATACTCGTCCGAAAGGGCATCCAAGAAGAGGTGAAGGACGAACGTTTCGTTGACAGTTAGTCCTTCCTCGGTTAAGGACTTTGAGGTTTGGAGCATCTCATCTAGGGCGTTTTGGTGGTTTTCACCTCTAGAGATCTTGGTCGATGTCAGGGACTTGGGGTCCTCTGACGGCTGTACAGATGATTCAGGGTCGTGTATGGTCTTGAGCTCACGAAGAGCTCCCTAGGGCGTCTCTGCCCTCTTCATGATTTTCCGATCTTTTTCTTTCAACGCGTGAGACAGATCGTTCCACGTGTGGAATGCGAGCTCTACTTGCTCGCTCCGGTACTGCTGTGACAGCAAAAACTTGCTCTTTCCGCTGTTGACGGGGATCTCAAAGCTCCCGCTCTCTTCAAAGTGTTCCAACAGGTTCGCACCATTAGCTGCCATGCGGAAATCATTTAGCTATTCGTTGAAATATTTCGATTTCCCGCTGAACGGAGGAGAAGTGTACCTCACACTTTGGTAACCCATCGCTGGGGTTGTGGTTCCGTATCCTAAGCCAACAGCAGCACCGTCATCTCCCATGGCACTACAATAATCTTGGTTGTGAGCAGCGGCTACTCTCACCTCTTGGGGGACAAAGCCCCCTACTTCGCTGCTGTGTCGCCCTGACGGGCCAGACTCTCCAACAGCTTCGCGCAGGTACCTCCCGTCCTGCGCACTCCCGGTCCACGGTGCCCCTCCTTCGGCGTTCGTGGACTCCGCGGCGGCACTCTCCCTAGCATCGCCGCGATCAGCGGCACCCTCGATGGTGCCAGCTGGCTCCTCCTTCTTCCTTGCCTTCATGGTATCTTCCACTAGCGACATTACCTGGCTCATCTGATCCCTCAGTGATCTATCTCGCGTCCTCAGGGCCAGGAGCTCTTCTCTTGACCTCTTTCTGTCTTCCGCCGCAGACTGGCTGGAAGAGTCACCCCCATCTTTGCGACCTGACATTCCTATTGGACTCTCCCTCGAGGGACTGACACTGGTGTGTTCGTATATGTCCTTTACTTGGAAGGGGAAGGCGTTTTATCCCTCGTATTAGACGCGCAAGGGGAGTAGGGAGAAGTCTATGGAAGATGACAATATATAGAGCGTAGCTTGGATGATGACTGAAACTCCGCCGCGGTATAAAAACTGTCATTGTTGGAGGTAGACTTTCACCTGTAAATGACGTTCTGTGGAAACCCAAAACGCTTTTTCATGGGCGGGGACGCATTTTGTGACACCTCCCCGAGCGCGCACAAAGACGAGCACCCCTCAGCCTACCGGATGAGCACTGACATGGAACCGCTTGCTAGCATCGATACTACATCAAGGAATCGTTCGGCCGAAGGTTCAGCGCAATATTGTTCACGGTGAGCACAGGAGTCGTGTTTCCNAAAAACGCTCCACTCCCTGCGGTTGGTTCGCCGTAACAAAGCAAAGCAACGACACGATTCTGTCGTAGCAAAAAGTCGCGTATTCTGTAGAGGCCTACCTGTTGTATGGAACACTTGAGTTTGACAGCACCAGGTTTCTCCCCAACACCTGCCCCTGCCCCAGC